ATAAAAATCCGTCAAGTCCACATTATTCAATGTGGCTTAAAAGGGCTTCGCGTGCTTGGTGTTGGGCTATGGACAGACAAACGCTGAGACACATAGACAGACGTATCTAGATGCTCAAATTATGCAGCTATACTCTGAAGCCGCCTATTGCGAACATACGCGTTGGGCTTTAGCGGGGCGCAACGGCGCGCAAAGATAATATTTGTCCTAGGACTTTCATTCAAACTGGTTTGATCTTAGATCTGCCCCTCCTGCCTGTATTACATAACTCGTACAAGTTTTTCATATTTTTTTAAAATTTAAAAATAGATAAATAAACGCAACCACTATAATTCTGAAACTAGGTTAATTTCAAATTCGTACTAGGCTTCATAAGACCACTAGATACTGCCCAGAAGCGAAGCACCCAATTATAAATGTCCAGCTCGTCTCAATGTTTCTCTCTGAGACGCGAGACGCCTGCGGCAAAGGCAAGACAGCTCGACACTGCCGCGGCGCAGTGTTGTTGCCTACCTGACGCCTTCCACTCTTCGCGCTGCGCTCCGACCAGCCTTGTGCGTAGGAGGGTTACTATAAAATGCCAGAAGTGATCTAGAAACTTACGCGCATCGCGTATGCCCTCTCCCCCCCCTCCTCTTTTCCCCGCTGGAAGGAGCTCTTCCCCGACCCCCTTCCATTCTCTCGATCCCACGGCCGAGGCCCGTCCGAGAGCCCGCCCTGCAAACGCGTTGCCAACGACAATAGACGCGCGATCGTTTCCAGAATGCAAACAGAGGCGACGACGACGAGTAACGTTGTTCGCGAAACGAGGTCGGTAAGCACATATCCGCGCGCGGTGACCTCCAAACACCTCGGCGTAGGCTACCCAGCCCTACATGTAACCCACCTAATCCACACTGACAAGGGAACTCATTTAAGTGTTAGTCCCCGATTTTGTTCCGCCTTGGGGGTTTTGTAGAGTGACCGTATACAGAACGATTGGCAATGAAAATTCGTGCCAAATTTCATATTCGTATAGGGAAAATCCATTTTCTCCAAAAATG